AAAAAAAAAATTAGCCAGGCATGGTGGCATATGCCTATAATCCCAGCCACTCTGGAGGCTGAGGCATGAGAATCATTTGAAATCAGGAGTTGGAATTTGCAGTGAGCAGAGATCATGCTGAGATTACAGGTGTAATCTTAGGTGATAGAGCAAGAGTATGTCTCAAAAATAATAATAATAAATAAAGGCTGAGTACGATGGCTCACACCTCTAATCCCAGTACTTTGGGAGGCCGAGGTGGGTGGTTCACCTGAAGTCAGGAGATCGAGACCAGCCTGGCCAACATCATGAAAGCCCATGTCTACTAAAAATACAAAAATTAGCTGGGCATGGTGGCAGGCACCTGTAATCCCAGCTACTTGGGAGGCTGCAGCAGGAGAATCATTTGAACCCAGGAGGCGGAGGTTGCAGTGAGCCAAGATTGCATCACTGCACTCCAGCCTGGGTGACAGAGCAAGACTCTGTCTTAAAAAAGAAAAACAGACTAGAACAGATACATGTTGATCTGTAGTCAGAGAAGACTTATTCATAAGTGAAAATGTAGAAACAACCCAAACGTCCATCCACGGATGAATGGATAAACAAAATGTGGCGTATCCCCACGATGGAAAAAAATTCAGCCATAAAAAGGCATGAAGCTTTCTTTTTAAAAATTAATTTTTAGGCCAGCAACAGTGGCTCACACCTGTAATTCCAGCACATTGGGAGGCTGAGGCAGGCGATCACCTGAGGTCAGGAGTTTGAGACCAGCCTGGCCAACATGGTGAAACCCTGTCTTGACTAAAAACACCCAAAAAAATTAGCCAGCTTGTCGGTACAGGCCTGTAATCCCAGCCACTCAGGAGGCAGAGTCAGAATTGCTTGAACCTGGGAGGTGGAGATTGCAGTGAACTGAGATCACACCACTACACTCCAGCCTGAACGACAGAGTAAGACTCCATCTCAAAATAATACTTTTTATTTTTGAGATGGAGTTCCATTCTTGTTGCCCAGGCTGGAGTGCAATGGCATGATCTTGGCTCACTGCAACCTCTGCCTTCCAGGTTCAAGCAATTCTCTTGCCTCAGTCTCCCCAGTAGCTGGGATTATAGGCATGTGCCACCACACCCGGCTAATTTTGTATTTTTTCTTTTTTTAGTCAGAGTCTCGCTCTGTTGCTCACGCTGGAGTGCAGTGGCACGATCTTGGCTCACTGCAATCTCCACCTCCTAGGTTCAAGCAATTCTGCATCGGCCTCCTGAATAGCTGAGATTATAGGCACAGGCCACTATGCCTGGCTAATTTTTGTATTTTTTAGTAGAGATGGGGTTTCACCTTCTTGGTCAGGCTGGTCTTGAACTCCTCACCTGATGATCCACCCGTCTTGGCCTCCCAAAGTGCTGGAATTACAGTCATGAGCCACTGTGCCTGGCCTAATTTTTTATTTTTAGTACAGATGAAGTTTCTCCATGATCATCAGGCTGGTCTGGCTCCCGACCTCAGGTTATCCACCTGCCTCAGCCTCCCAAAGAGCTGCAATTACAGGAATGAGCCACTGCACCTGGCCTATTTTCAATTTTTATTTTTGAGATGAAGTCTCACACCATCACCCAGGCTGGAGTGTAGTGGCGCGATCTCGGCTCACTGCAACCTCCGCCTTCCAGTTTCAAGCAATTCTCCTGCCTCAGCCTCCCGAGTAGCTGAGATTACAGGCACCTATGACCATGCCCCAATAATTTTTGTATTTTTACTAGAGACAGGGTTTCACCATGGTGAAACTGGCCAGGCTGGTCTCAATCTCCTGACCTCAGGGGATTTGCCTGCCTCGGCCTCCCAAAGTGCTGGGATTACAGGTGTGAGCCACCACACCCAGGCCTAATTTTTTATTTTTAGCCCTGAAGGCTGGAACTGAATGAAATTCTGACACATGCTACAACATGGATGAACTTTGAAACATTACGCTAAGTGAAACAAGCCAGCCATAAAAGGAAATGTTGTATGAGTCAACGTACACAAAATACCTAGAACGGGCAGCTTCATAGAGACTCAAGAGGGAAAGTTACCAGGGGAATGGAGGGAACTGTTACTGCTTAATGTGTCCAGAGTTCCTGTTTGCAGGATGAAAAAGTTTTGGAAATAGAGTGGAGATGCCTGGCTCCCCTGGTGTTCTCTACCCTGGCGCTGTCTTCACTTTATTCTCCGCCCTTGAGTTACTCTCAGGGATGTTGACTGGCTGGTTTACCATCTGAATCCGACTCCCCAACTAGCCTGGGATGCCCTGTCTCTGGCACCTCCAGCTCTGCCACCAGCATCGGGCCCAGGGTAGAGGAGGCAGATGCTCAGCCGACAGCTGTTGGAGGAATGCGTGAAGACGGGCTATGTGGGTGAATGAGAGACGATTAGCTGAGAAGTGGGAGGGTCATGTTACAGGACAGAGAAGTCTAAAGTCACTGCAGGGTAGAAGTCTGGCCTACAGACACAGTGGCCCGTGCCTGTAATCCCAGCACTTTGGGAGGCTGAGGCAGGAGGATCACCTGAGGTCAGGAATTCAAGATCAGCCAAACCAACATGGAGAAAACCCATCTCTACTAAAAATACAAAATTAGTCAGGCACGGTGGTACATGCCTGTATTCTCAGCTACTCAGGAGGCTGAGGCAGGAGAATCACGTGAACCCAGGCGGCAGAGGCTGCAGTGAGCCAAGATCGTGCCACTGAACTCTAGGCTGGGCAACAGGAGCAAAACTCCATCTCAGAGAAAAAAAAAAAAAAGTCTGGCCTAAATCAGCCCTGGTTTCACCATGTTGGCCAGGCTGGTCTCGAATCCCTGATCTCATGATCTGGCCTAAATCGGGCTGGGGAGGTAGGCAGGGCCTTACACAACATGATTCATGCTTTGAAAAGATGACTGTTGCCACAGGGTAGAGAACAGACTAGAAAAGACAGAATGATAAAGGAGTCAGGACCATAGGTTCAGGTGGCCTCACAGGTAATGAGTTTCTCGTGACTGGGGTATTCAAGCAGAGACTGTGCGAGTATGGGCGGGAATGCCGTCAAGGAGTCAAGTCCCGACAGGATGGGCCCAGGGCAGGGTGATTTGCCTTGCGGCCCTATGTCTCCCCCACCCTGCCCCACCACCTGGAGGACAAGCCCACAGCCTCACCCCACCCACTTCAGCCCTGGCTCCAACGCCTGCAGACCTGGACTGGAGCCCACGCACACGAGCCTGCATCCGGAGCAGGAGGCGCTGGCTGGAGATGCAGGTGTGAAGGCCGCGGTGCAGGCTGAGCAGGGCCTGTGAGCGCTGCTGGGCCCGGAGCTCCTCCAGCTGCTGCCAGCCCTGTTCCCGCAGCAAGACCTGTGGGCAGAGGCCTGGGCTGCAGCCAGGCACCAGGACCCAGGCCCACCTGCTTTCCTCCTCCAGTCTCAGCCTCCTCCCTTCCAGCCACCAAGCCATTTGTTCTTCCTGGGTGCTGGGGCCAGCCTGCCACCCAGCCCTTCTGTCTCCCACCATTTGGATGGACCCCCAAATCCTGGGTTTGTCCCTTTTGGCCCAGAATGCATCTCTCCTTTCCCATTCATGTAGCCCTCTGCACACAGGGACACACCCACCCACCTTGGTGGCTCCGAGGTGACAGAGAGGTGATTCGGCCCCCAGCACCTGGCTCAGGATGGTACCACACTTCTCCCGCTGAGAGAGGTCTTCCTGCCTTTCTGACCCCAGGGCCCAGAACCTGCTCCAAGGATGGAGCTGAGGTCAGAACAGCCAGGAACTCCTTCCACACTGTGCGACATCCTGTTCCTAGAACATTCAACAATTTGGAAGGTGCCTGCTCTATGCCAGGCGCTCAGCTGGGCGCTGAGACACTGCTGTGAACTTGGGCAGGGAGGGCCTTTGTGCTGGAGCTCAGGGGAAGACAGGTGAGCCTGGTGTGCTGCGGAGGCACAAGGGCTGGTTCTGGGCCACGGGAGCACCAGGAATGTGGTTCCCAAGGCCTCAGTCTCCTCGCTACCCGTCACGGTGGGTCTCAAGTTTGTGGAAGGGAGGGAGGGGTGTGGCAGGCAGGGAGGGGCGTGGCAGGGAGGGAGGGGCGTGGCAGGCAGGGATGAGTGGGGGAGTGTTTAAGGCCATTTCATAGGTCCGGATCGTGGTCCCAGCTAGCTCAATGGACACTCAGTGGTTAGTCTGTAGGAAGCAAGAGCTATGCAGTTTCTGGGGACATGTGGGCGACAGGCTGTGGTCCCAGGAGGCCACAGTACCTCAGGGAATGGCACAGATCGGCAGACCTGGTCTGTGCTGGGTAGAGAGTTGTGCCTGGAGGTTCCTCTCACCCAGCTTCCGGGCTCCTTGGCAGAGGTGACAACTGCTGTAGCTGGTAGGTTTCCAGATGGCAGAGACAGAACGTGCCCCACCTGGAGCTTCTCAGGATCTGACTCAAGGCTGGGCACACCCATTCCTACAGACTGCCTTCGGCTCAGTCCCCAGCCAGGCTGTCCCCATTGACTAAGGGGGTCCTCGGAGCCCTGAGGTGAGGCTGCTGCTCCTCAAAGCTGCCCCTCCCTTCTGAGGCAGCCACCAGCCCAGCTGGCCTGGACATCAACGAGAAGTGACTCCACCTGCCCCCTCTGTCCCTGTCCTTGGGGAAAACTCCAGCCCTTCAGAGAATTCCCAAGAGGCCATCCAGTCAATAGCCAAAGGCCAGATAGGCAAACAACAAAATGGACAATGTCACTAGCTTTTCTCAAGGTTTCTGAATTCTGGGAACAGAGTTGCCTCTGGTGTTCCTGCCAGTCCACCTGCCACCCCGCCCTTCCTGCCCTTCTGAAAAGCTACCACTCTCACTCTGTCGCCCTCCCATCTCCCTGCTTCAGCCTGCGCTTCCTGGACAGCTGCTGTGAGCACTAGACCACGAGCCCCGCCCAGGGCAGGGACTGCTCCCACCTCATCTCCATGCCCAGGCATCAGCACTGGAGATGTTTGCGGAAAGGAGGAGGACTCACACATGCGTGGAGGGATGGTGAATGGTAGGAGAGATGGGGGGGGAGAGAGAGAGAGGGGGAGGGTTGGGCGCTAGGTCCAGTCCTGGGCAGAGTGAGTCCATCTCTACCCAGAAGGACCCCCAGGGCTGCCAGTCACTCCTGGGGGCCTCCTTGTCAGTCCTGCCCTGAAGTGTTGGGTCCCACCTGACCAGGAAGGCCTCAAAGGGCAAGCGCACGGGGAAGTTGGCACTGCGGGTGCCCACGGCCTCCAGGATGGCTGCCTGGTGCAGTTGCTCTGCCACATGTCCCACGTCAAAGAGGCCTGGATGCTGTGGCCACAAGACAGAGCCAAGGACAGCTGGAGTCAAGGCACCAGGAGCTGTGAGGAAGGAGGTGCAGGGCGGGGGAACCCCCGAGGCCAGGTGCTGGGGAGCTCACCTTTCCAGCGTTAGGACTGAGACACTGGATGAAATAGACATGGCTCCTGAGAGGGAATGAGGGGTCACCTGAGCACAGACCAGCACCCATACAACTCCCTGGGGTCTGGTGTGGCGGGCACTGTTCTTACCTGCCCAGCTGGGCTATGAGGTCCCCCAGGGCCTGCTGGAAGCGAGAGGCCAGCGTGGGTCTGCCTCGCTCTCCCCTGGACTGGGGCTCTGCTTCCTGGAACAGGCTGCCCACCAGCTGTGGGGTGAAGGGCTAAGCCAGCTGGCCGCCGGGGCCTGCCCATCCACTCCGCAGCCCAGGGAGCCAGAGTAGGCCAGTCCTCGGTGTCTAGATACTGGCAAGCTCAGCCCACGGCCAAGGTGCCAGGGGCTTGAGGGCCAGCCCTTGGCCAAGAGTGTCCAGGGGAAGAGGACAGAATTGGGAGACAGAGTATGGAGCAGGTGGGGGCCTGGAAGGGCAGACGGGGTACCTGGAGCTGGCTCTGGCCAAGCATCTCCATGGCGGCAGGGTCCAGCTGATCCCGGTTTCTGTTTAAAAACTTGTGAACCTGCAAGAGACGAGGCTGGTGGCGAGGTGCAGCTGATCCCAGTTTCTGTTTAAAAACTCGTGAACCTGCAAGAAACCCTGCAGGTGGGGAGGGAAGCGAGGAAAGGGAGGGGAGCAGGAACCAAGGAGGGGAGGCTGGATTTGGAGAAGAATCCATCCTCTTCCCAAGTGACCTGAAAGGCCACCTTGCCGAGTTTCCAGTCCTTTACCTAGCCTTGCCTCTGTCACCGGACTTTCCATTTTCCCCCAAGAACAGGTGCAGTCCCCAGCAGCACCACACTCTCCCCACTGGGCCTTGAACCTATGCTGGTCAGTAGGTTGACTAGACAAGAACACTTGTCTCTCCATTTGAAAATCTTTTGTGACTTACATTTTCCTAGCTTTCTTTAGCTCCTTGTATTTCTTTTTTGGGGGGTGTAACTCCTGGGTAGTTTGTAGTTTTTCTTTTTCAAACAGAGTGTTGCCACCTCCTCCAGGGAGAACTGATTCTTCCTACTGTCCTTCCCTTTATCCCACCCCACCCCCGTGCCTCCCCTACTGGGGTAGGTGTGCAGCTTGTAGGTAGACACAGAACTCAGAAGGGGCAAGGGAAGTCCATTCAGTGAACACCTACTATGTGCCAGGCACCTGCCAGGCCATCTCGACGTTATTGCATCTAACCCTCACCACAGTGCCAGAGTATAGGTTTCCATGCCCGTTTACAGGTGAGGAAATGGAGGCTCAGAAGGCAAAGTAAACTGTCAAGGTCATTGGGTGTCGTGCTTGTGCTCTGCCCGCTTGCCTGGAGGGTCCCAAGGCTTCTACTCCCTGACCCCATAATTGTCACCTAGAACTCAGTAAACCATGCTCAGAACTGGGTAGGGCCTGTGGCTTAGATAGGGACAGTGTCCAGGCTTTGCAAGGGGCCTCCCCACACCCACTCCTCTCAGCTGTCAGGTGACTCAGCTTGGGAGAGGACATTGCCCTCGCTGATTCACCCTGGCCTGTTCCTGAGGCCATGTACCTGGTAGGTGACAGTCCCTGCATAATGTCGCACGGTGAACACAGGCAGGGGCAGCCGGGGCTTGGCATAGCTGGGGTGGTCGCCATGGTGGTAGTGGCTCTTCTGGAGGAAGGTGTGGTCTGTGGCCTAGGAGAGGGGCCATGCACTCCCTTCACGCTTCTGTACAGGCTGTCCCTGCCTGGATGGCGCCCTCTCCTGGTGTGCAAGAGTACTGCCCACACTGACTATAAGAGTAGGTTTAGCTTTGCTCCCCAAAACAAACACTTTGGGAGGCTGAGGTGGGAGGATCGTTTGGGGCTAGGAAATTCAAGACCAGCCTGGGCAATATAGCAAGATCCTGTCTCTACAAAAAATTTAAAAATTAACTGGGTGGGGCCAGGTGTGGTGGCTCATGCCTGTAATCTCAGCGCTTTGGGATGCCACGGCAGGAGGATCACCACAGGAGGAGTTTGAGACCAGCCTGGCCAACATGGTGAAACCCCATCTCTACTAAAAACGCAAAAATATTAGCCAGGGATGGTGGCTCATGCCTGTAATCCCAGCTACTTGAGAGGCTGAGGCAGGGGAATCTCTTGAACCTGGAAGGCGGAGGTTGCAGTGAGCTGAGACTGCAACATTGCACTCGAGCCTGGGCAACGAGAACCAAACTCCACCTAAAAAAAAAAAA